ATAGGTATAAAAATTTTTTTTTTAAATAAATTAATAAATTGCAAATAAAAAAATAGATGGTTCAGAGAAAGAAGAAAAGAGAATTGGAAGTGAAAGAGATCCTTGTATGAAATTATATCGGGTCCGGTATTTTTCGCGAGAGTATTATAACAACGTCCAAAGCGCAGAGACAGTCGTACAAATCGGGTCACCAGACACCGAGCAAGAACCCATACCTAACCTTCACTGACACCAAGACTCGTCGACCATGTCGACGATGGAGGGACCAAACGCGTTTCCACTGACTCGTAGAATTCTTCGCGATAGCGCGGTCTTCGTGCCATCGTCTTCTTCGCGCGCGCGTTATATCGCGATTTATTGGTCATGTGTTTATTCGCGTCTAGCTTTTCTACAATTCTGATTGCCGTGGAGAACAAGTTTTCTCCGAAAAAAAATCCGACTGGTCTTACAAAATGGCATAAACATACAACAATTGAAGCGGAAAACCTGAGTCCAAAGAAAAAAAGCATAATATTATAATATATAAATGTAAATCTCATAGAAAATGAAATCAACATATACAAGTCATTTATAGTTAAAAAATTCGAATTTTAAAAATTGTTAATTTATATTATTTTTACACAAAAGCTTTACATATTATATTATCCTTTTTAATTTAAATTATAAAATGTTTATTCAATTTTTTATTTAATATTTTAGCGATAGTATTTTTTTTTTAATTCTCAGGATAAATATTTACTCGAGCATAAATCCGCTTTTAATAATTTTGATTTAACGCACAGAAAATAAGCTCATCAACAGAGCGAATGCAAATGCTACGATGTTATTATGCGGTCATAAGTTCGTTTTATACGGGCATTCTTTTCAGCAGATAAGAATTGTTCGTAACCAGTCCTAAACAAATCCTTCGGCATTTTTACAGACTACTTATTGCGCTTATTCGTGCATTTATTTCGACGATGTTGCATTAAGGAAAAATCCGCTTATGTCATAAGCGACGAGTGTTGCAAGCAACGGTTTCATTGTCTCGACAATGAATACGAAACGTGTCGGTAATAATTATTTCTTTGAGATAAAATTCCCTAAATAATTTACAACCGAATTTTTAATACAAACTCAAACGGTCCCAAAAAAGGACCGAAACGTTCGTTAATTATAAATTTGTAATGTCGTAAATCGACACTTGGCTAATCTAATTTAAATAAAGTATGCGCACCAACTCCAGCGCTGGCTCTTACTTGCCATTTATTTATGTTTGAGTTTGTATTTAATAGAGCCTGTACTTTTGAGTTTATCGAATATTTAATTGTATGATTTAATGATTATCGAGCAGTTAGAAAATAAAATTTTGACTAAGAAAAAGTCGACTTTTTTTAAAATTTATGAAAGAATGTGCCATAAAAAATTACCCGCTCAACTTTTATGATTGAGATATTTATTTGTCGTAAATTGTATTATAAAAGATTGAAAAAAACTTTTTGTGATCCAATCGTGCAAAGAATGACTAAAACAGAACTGGTATCTTAAGTAGGATTAATAAAAATTTCATGCAATGGCTATTGTAATAATTATATAAGTATAAAAGCTAGTGTTAACACAAGTACTTGCATAACCTGTCAGTCGCTATTTTTAGCTAAGACTTGAATCGGATTATCGTTATTAAACAGCGTGCAATTGTACAATACTTTCAGACTTTTACAGTTTTGATAAAAAAGAATAGAACGTCCAAATAAAGTAGAAAAATTATGACAGATTATTTTATTAAGCGCTCTTCAATTGGCCAATTTTATGTTACTTACTTAAAAAAAAAATCTAAATATTCTCTCAACTACTTTAAATTTCTTAATCATGTTCGAAGAAAATAAATTGCGAGATGATCGAGGACTCTTCGTTTGAAGCTAGAGAGTTCTTCTCTTTAAAATTAAACGGCATCCTGCCTCTCCTACTTCGTGACAATCCTAAGGAGGAGGAGGATGAGTCTCGAATCTTCTCGAGAGTATTATGTAAAAGATCGTTAAAACGTGATCGCTCGATTTTTCGACTCTCGAAGGCGTTGGTCGCGCATGAAAGTGAAGCGTCACGCCGAAGAATATTTAAGGACCGACGATGACCTCACCATGTGAAGTGAAAGTTCCCCCGGCTTTGCCTCGATTCGACTCTCGGCTCCACACGACCGAGATGACGGGAACAAAAAGAGATGCACGGCCTCTTTCGGCACCCACGGTATCCGGAAATATACGTGCCCCAATGACGTCATGACCTTGGTCGACGTTCGAGTACTTTCCGAAATCTTCGATCTGCAACTTGCGTTTCTTGTTTAAATACTTTTACAGAAAATTGATGGCGAAATGATCGGTATTATAATTGACAAATTTTTGGTCCAATAATAATAAAATGGTCAGATTTTTATCTCATTTAGTTCCTTTCTACTATTAGTAATAATTACAATAAAAAAATATATATTTTTTTAATTATATAGAAAGAAAATTATAGGGTGAAATCATTATAGGTGAAATGATTGGTATAATAATTGATGGTTAGATTTTTATCATTTAATTCCTTTCTGCTTTTAGCGCACTAATTACAATAAAATATATTTTTTTTGAAAAAAATATATAGAAAAAAATTGATGTTAAAATGATTGGTATAATAATTGATGATCAGATTTTTATTAATTAATTCCTTTCTATTTTTAGTATATTAATTATACATACAATAAAAAATATATTTCTCTGAAGAAAAAATATAAAAAGAAAATTGATGGTAAAATAATTGATGATCAGATTTTTATCATTTAATTCCTTTCTACTTTTAGCGTAATAATTATAATAAAATATATTTTTTTGAAAAAATATATAAAAAGAAAATTGATGTGATAAAATGATTGGTATAATAATTGATGGTCAGATTTTTATCATTTAGTTCCTTTCTCTACTTTTAGTAATATAATAATTGCGATAAAATATATTTCTCTGAAAAGATATATCTAAGAAATGATCAGCAAAAGGATCATTAAAGAGCACCCCTGAGATTAATGATAAATCGATTTCAAGAACTACCTGAACGTTCGTTCTCGGAACGGATCTAAAGTATTTGAAAGGCAAAGAGGTAAGAGCGCCTGTTTGTAACGAGAAAACATCGCCGACTCGGCTTTGCAATCCACCGCGACCAACGACGGAAATCGAGTGGTTCACTTTCAGATCCTGTTGCACGTCTCGCATTACTTTATCACTGCACCATTCGCCATTCGTGAGTCACACGAAAATTGCACCTGCCATTTCATTGCGCACACAGTATTTTGGAAATCCCTTCATCGTGTATAAAATAAATCTCATATTTCTCAATTAAAAATTATGATCATTATTTCAACTAATAATAATATAATTATTATTATTTTAATAATAATTAAAATAATAATTGTTTCAACTAATAATAATTGAATTATTAATTCTTAATCTCTAATTAAATAATTAAATTAAATTAATTAAATTATTTTTTATTGAAATTAAGAATT